AAAGAAAGAAAGAAAGAAAGAAAGAAAGAAAGAAAGAAAGAAAGAAAGAAAGAAAGAAATCTCCCCCGATGGGGGAGGCCACACCACAGTCCCTTCTCCTCCATTCTCCCCCTGGGATCTTGGGCACTCATGCACATGCCTGGCATGAGTTTAGGCAGCCGGGTCTGGGACTCAAACTGTAACTATTAATCCATCTTCTGGTCCCCCTTTAATTAACTTTTGAATGCAATAACTGTATGTCCTTAGTGCAAAGATAAAAAGATCTACAAACCAATCTTGAACTCTGGCTGAATAGATTTGTTGTTGATAGACGTATAAATATTGTAATTCTAGGATTATTTTTTGTGGTATTATTGCAGAACTAAACAAAAAAGTAAAGTTTTTTGAGTTGGAGTGGGATTCAGAATTCTCACGATGAGAGAAATAGACTGGGAAAAAAACAAAGAACTGTGTGGTGTTGGGTTGAGATTAGTGGTTACTCCTGGTTCTGTCCACTGAAAAGGCTGTTACATTTCAGCAGTAATGAGCACAGATCTTGGTTTCTAAATACCATTTCCCATCAGAAAGAACCAGGATTTCTTGGAGAAATGGCTGATTCCAGGGCTGGACAGGGCTTGTTCTTAAAAGTAAGAAAGTGCCCATCAAATGAGGAGAATATGTTGTAAGAATATAGGAAACAGGATCAGCAGACGGCATAATGGTTACTTGCTTAGACTCCCATATAGTCAATCGCAGTTTGAGTCCCGGAACCGGTGGCTTGGGACTCACACCAGGCATGTGTGTATGCATGCCCAAAATCCTGAAAGGAGAATGGAGGAAGAGGGATTATGGTGTGGCCATCCCCCCTGGGGAGTGATTTCTCACTTTCTGTCCCTCTGTCTCTCTGGAAAGTGCATGTGTCCTATAGCAAAAAAAAACTCTCAAAAAAAAGAATAAAGAAAACATCTTAAAGGGGTTCCTACTGACCAACTCCAAGACTCTTAGAGTATCAAAACAAAAATAATGATGAATTATAAAAAAATAGAATTTCATGAATTCATGTTAATTCCATAAATAAAAGAGGAAGAGGGGTAGGCTCTTTAGAATGGAAAGCCAACTTATAAACATATATGAGTGAAGAAGTTAGAAAACAACACTTTGGAACATCATAGTACTAATTGACTCATACAGGAATCATCAATAAATGCTAAAACTATTAGGTGAAAGTCTCAAAGTATCTCTCCACAGACTTATTCATTGCAAAGGGAAAAACAGTAAGTTTGTAGTGGGAAAACTTGACTAACACCACCTCAACCAAGTGATAGAGGTTAACACCTTGGCAATGGAACATGCCTATGTGGGTGTGTTTTCTGATGTGATGAGTGAGGATATAGCATCACTGATGGTGTAAGCCTGTCAAAAATGCATAACCTGAATATACTCACCCGGAAACACCAACAAATCCAAACTGAACACATCCTATAAAACACTTGACCTGTGTTTGCCAAGATTGTTACTGTCGAGGAGCCAGAAGGTGGCATAGTGGTAAAGGCAATAGATTCCCATGTGACTGACTGTGGTTCAAGTCCTGAACCCAGCAGCTTGAAACACACTGCTTGCATGTGTGTATGTGCCCTAAGTCCAAAGAGGAGAATGGATAAGAGGGGATTGCAGTGTGGTTGTCCCCACCCGGGGAGGGGTGTGTGTGTGTGATTTTTCACTTTCTGTCTCACTATCTCGCTCTTTCTCTCTGGTGAGCACACATACCCTATAGCAAAAATCTCTTTAAAAAAAAAAAAGATTGTCAATATCATAAAAGACAAAATTAAAATATTGGGTAATTGAAAAACTCATGATATATTTTTCTGTTTTTCTATGCAAATTCTGCAAATTAATGTTATTAAATGAGGTAGGGGAAATAGGACAACGAAATGTAATGCATAATCCTGAATTAGGCCTTGGACTGGGGGAAAATTCCCCATAAAAAGCACTGTATGGCAACTGGTGAGAATTGACAGTAGACTATACTTTGGGTAATAACATTATACTAAGGCTAAAGTTCCTAAAATTGACCATTGCACTGGGGTAATGAAGGAAATGTCCTTGTTCTTAGAGGCTTTACGTGAAAGCATTTGTCAATAAAGGTGCATGATGTACCCAATTTTCTTTCATATGGTTCTGTAGAAATGATGATAATAATTATATAGAGAAGCTAGACAGAGAGGTAGATAAATAGGTAGACAGGCAGCTAGAGAAAAAAGGTGTGCTGTAAATGTTAATTGGTAAATGTAAGTAAAGAGTCTATGGGAGATCACCATATAATGTTTGTAATATTTCTGTAAATTTGAAATATTTTTCAAGGTAGAAAAGTTGCTTTTTTTTTTAAGTACCCTGATTCTTAGGCCTATCCATTGGAGAAGTGAAGATTAGACACCACAATTAAAACCAAAGGTGCAGAATCACCAAAGAACCTAGATGGTGGGTAACATGAGGATGTGGCAGGGAAGGGGGGTCAGCAGGGCCCCAGAATCTTTTTTTCCCAGGTTAGCATCCTGGGGTGCTTCATCTTCCAGCTGTACTGAGTCTGAGAAGAGAAAGGTATTTTCCCCACAGTTGCTATATCAGAAGTGTGGAGTCACCCTCAACTCCAATCTCTTACTCAGCTCTTCACCAAATTCTGTTTACTGAATTCTGAATCTACTCTTAAGCTGTAAGTCTAATTCATTCCCTCCTGTCCAGGTCCTCTGCCCAGGTCTTTGCTTCTTAGCCTGCATTTCTACAATACTTCCTAGCCAGTTTCCTGGCCTTCAGGAGCACCTCCCAGCCCATCCTTCTCACCTCAGCCGGGTGCAAAGTAGGGCTGCAAGGAGCTCTGCCGTTCCTGTGCTCGCCTCCACAAGGGTGCTCGCCTCCACATGGCGACATCTCCTACCACCGCCTACCATTTCCCAGGCTCTCTCTTCCACTCCGCTCCACACAGCCTTTGTTCCAACAATGCTGAACTCTTCCTAGTTTTCCAAACACATTGCTGATGTCTCCGAGGAAGGTCAAAAATGCCACTGATTTTCTTTGCTCATGTTGGCAACAACCTGGAAAATAAACAAAGAAATAAAGGAAGTGGCTTTGCTGTGATAGTGCAGGAGGTAGGTTAAATAATTGTAAATCTGTAAGCAACTAACCAAAATCTTAAAATTTTTAAAATTTCAAGGAGAAATAAAGAAATCTGCCATCACAAAGAAAAGTTTTAACATGTCTATTTCAGTGATGATAGAATAAGCATACAAGAATTAGGAAGGACACAGAATACTTAAACAACATGATTAACAAACTAGACCTAATGAATCCACATAGGAAAGCCCAAGGTTCAGATTCCAAGTGAACCCAAACACCCAGGTCCCTGGCTAGAAGGTTGGGCAAAGAGCATACTGTGACAAGACTCTGTCAGGGATCCATGTCTTTCTCTCTCTCAAGAAATAAACTGCAAAAGAGAGAGAGAGAGAGGAAGAAAGAGAGGAAGGAAGAAAGAAAGAAGAAAGGAAGGAAACAAGGAGAAAAGAAAGATAGATGAAAGTAAACAAATACTTATTGCCGAGTGGGGCAAAACTGGAGAATGGGGTTTAAGCTAGTCAGCAGCTGGCTTGGGAAGCTCTGGGCAACGCCATCTAGCCCCGCCTACACAGCTCACTCAGATAGGCCTCTCCACTTCCGCAGAGGCCAGGAGGTAAAGGGACAGAGAATGGTTAGATTTGTGCAAAAGGAATATTCCTTGCAGATGCATGGTGGAAAGAGGCACCCCCTCTAGCATACCCCAGGGATGGTATGCCCCTGTGCCTTTCTCATCTGCCTCCCAAAAATCCAAGAGAAGAGCCCTCCCCTGAAATAGACCGCAGGTGCACCCTGATTTCAGACTTTCAGCCTCTAGAACCATGAGAAGATAAATTTCACGCAGCGCGAGTACTGCGTAATGGCAGTCACGCAGACTAAGACACTGAGCACAGTCGGAATAAAGCTAATTACGTCTTCCTCAGCACTACCGCCTTTTACTAAACTTCAAAAAATAAGTATTTTACCAAAGTTAGACATTTACATAATTTTAAAAGCCACATGGTACTGAAAAGCTCATGATAAAAATGGTAGTTCTACAATTTTTTCTTAATCCCTCCTTTGAGCCCAGCTCCCTGGGGGAAAAACTCCTCACTCTTTTCAATTGTTTCTTAGAATGATGGGACCCATTCAGTGCTTCTAAATAATGTTTACACTATGTTCCCCGGATTTATCAGTTTTATACATTCATACTGACTTTCCATTGTAAGCATTTAGTACTTTTTATTTTATGTTCTACTATTAGTTCCCCTCCTTCCAACCTAATGGGACAAAGAAATGGATTATTATCTATTGAAGGTAACTTTATAGTATTATCAACTGGACTGGGGAGACATGTACACATGTTGGAATATTCACTTTGCAAGCTAAATAATGTGATTAAATGTATAAAAGAACTTGAAATAAAATTACAAAACAAAACAAAACAACAACAAACTCTAATGTAATACCACCATTTTTTTTTAGTAAGCATTCAGTGCCTGTATTATTTTGATCATGTAATTGTTTACTACCAAGCCAAATAGTAAACTTCAATTTCATTTCCTTTCTTGTGCAACTTTTTGTTTTACTATACATAGTGACGTTTTTCTTTCTTTTGGTTGTTTTTACATTACTGTCACAAATTCTTCACAAATTCTCCAATAAGATTATAAAACTCCTTTGGATGATATCTTCCATTTAAGTTCAATCATCAGTTAATCAGTTCAATATTTATTTCTGTTTCTACTATCATATTTGTAATGCCCACGAAGTTTTGTTTTTGCTTGTTTGTTATTGTTGTTGTTGTTGACAGGGAGTGCACACACTTACCAGAGAAAGGAAGAGATAAAAAGCAGCACTCACCCTCCACCCCCATGAAGTGTGGTCAGGCTGCATCCCTCGTCCTCCATTTCTCCATTTTGTTGAGATTTTGGGCATGCACACACTCATACTCACTGTGTTTTCCAAGCTGCCAGGGCTAGGACTCAAACTGTGCAGTTGACCATGTGGGATACAGTCACTTTAATCACTAGACCTATGCCCGTTAGTTTTATGTTGTTGTCCCAATATTCTCTTTTATTTTATTTGTTTTTGAGAGATTTTTTTTTCTTGCTGTAGGGCATGTGTGCTTACCAGGGAGACAGAGAAAGACAGAAAGTGAGAAATAATCCATGAGGGGGATGGCCATGTCACAATCCCTTCTCCATTCATGAGTTTCAAGCCGGTAGGTCTGGGACTTGAACCACAGTCAACCACATGGGTGTCCAGCACCTTAACCACTATACCATCTAATGGCCCCCAAATAATTCCCTTTTAATAGCAAACTCTTCTTGGTTTGAGAATGCTTTTTCTCTTCAAAGTTAGTAACTATAGGGTTTTTGTTTTGTTTTTAGTTTAGTTTTCTCTTTCTTCTGAGTTTTCTTTTGCTATTTAATTATTTTGATATCTGCTTTTCAGCTTAAAGATTTCCTCGAATGTCAAAGGATCTTTGGGTTGTTCATGAAACACTAAAAGGTGATCAAAACTCTTGTGTGCTTGAGGAGAAATGCTGAACAATTGGCTTGGGGGGTTTAGGGTGGGAACCTGTAAAATGATTCAGAGAAGACTCAGTTTTCTTTTCTTTTTTTTCTTTCTTCTTTTTAAAATTCAGAAACCCAAGCAGTCATTATCTGTATGTGTTTTCTCCAGGGTTGTTCATTTCCTCCAGAGAAAATTCACCAATCTTCTTCCTGAGGGTTAAACACCTGCTGCCCTGGGAATGGGGGACAAAGAGGACTGGGATTCTTTGAGCTCACTAAGTCAATGCTCACTCTCAGGACAATACTTTCCCCACTCTTCTGCTCCAACTGCAGAGAGTCCTATTCTAGGTCCCTCTCTCCACCAATTAACTCCTATTTGGGTATGGAAATGTGGCCCCTTAGCTGCTGCAGGCAGGTGAGTACACTGGGATCTAATTTCTCCTTAACAGAACTTCAACCAAATCTCTTGTTTTTACCTTGTGTCTGTCATAGTTCAGGCCTCTCCAATTCTCCACCCTCTGTGGAGTTCTATGGGCTGCTGTTTCTTTAATCCATGTCACTTCTACAGATACTTAGAGTCGGAATTTTCTGTTCCTCTCCTTCCTCCATTTTCCATCCTCCAAATTCATGACTGTTCTCATTCATTAGGTCTCTTCCTCAATTGTCTTTGTCCTTTTGGGTTTGTGTGTGTGTATGTATATGTATGTCTTTATATGTAGATAGATACAGATTAGTATTTATAGATATTTATATATGTATACACATATTTATATTTATATAAGTATATTTGTATTTATATGTTAATATTATATTAATATATTTGTATTTATGTTATATGTGTATATATTTATATTATATATGTGTGTGTGTGTATACTATATTTCATTCGTTTATTCTCATTTTAGTGCCCTATCAGGAGGGAGCAGTTTATATTCATGTTCAATTCACCATGTTTAATTGGAAGTTCATTCCATGTCTCTCTTTAGCGTGTGTGTTCTGCATCTCACTTACTCTGTGCTCTGTTGTTACTTGCCTGCTTCCTGGTGGCTTTCTGAGGGCAGCAGTCTCTTTGCATACCCAGCCCCTATTACAGATCTAGGGCATGCGATCATTATTTATTCAATTAAATGGAACATGATTTACATAGTTGGCTGTGACCATTGGACAGCTAGAAAATAAAGTAAATGTCCACTAAGGTCTTATCCATTCTCCCTTTCTCTATCGAAGACTGTCCTGATGGAAGAAAATTTTCAAGACTGAAGCAAAAATAGCAAACTTCTACTCATAATAGTGCTTGTTTAGAGTATGTACAGTTTTTCCTGCCTCTTTCAGAGAAGTGCTTCTTTTACTTAGAAGCAATTGCTTTTCAAAGGCTGGCAATTCTCATTAGTTACCAGGTGAGTGAATCTAATAAGAAAGGTCTCCTGAGTGAGCTGGGAGAAGCAATGGAACAAAACATGTAGTGAGGGGTATTTTTTCCTCCTGGCAAACCAAACAGGTCCAGTGTACACATAATTGAAAGGAAATGGACAGGTCTCACCTAAGGTGCATTTCTTCCACGTGCACAGAGAACTGGGCCTTCGGAGAAGAGTCCTTTGAGGTCCAGAAAAGACCTGTGTTAAGGAGTGCATTTACCTCTTATAGAGCTGTAGTGGGGCATGGATTTGCTGCTTCTGGGGAAAGCTGAAATGGCTTGTAATGGTTTCCTAGGGCTGCTGTAATAAATTGCCATGAACTGGCGGCTTAAAACAATGAGCTTAGTCTCTCACAGTTCAGGAGGGCCAGAAGTCCACAATCACTGTGTCAGGGCTAATCCTTATGGAGGTTCTGAGGGAGAAACTATCCCATGCCTCTCTCCTAGCTTCTGAAGGTTGCTGGCATCCTCAGCACTCCATGGCTTGCAGCTGCATTGCTACAAAAGGACTCCTTCCTCCATCTTCACAAGGCCTCCTTCCCACCGTGTATATCAGTGTATCTCCAACTTTCCCTCTCATTATAAGGACACTGATCATTGACTTTAGAATCCATGCTGACCTAGTATGACTTCATTTTAGCTAAGGTTCTGGGTAGATATGGATCTTCTGAAGACACTATTCAATGCCAAGTGGTCTAAAACCCTTATCCTCTTGCCCCCCTGCTTCTAGTTTTAAATTTTTAGGCAGCATTTGCAATAAAATACTTTCAGATAATTAATGTAGGAGAAGATAGGAACTGCTAGAGAAGGTGCCTGGAAAAAGAGGAAGATGAGTTTGCAGGTGAGTCTCCCACTCTTGGGCAGAGATTTTTTTTTTTTAAGTTTATTTATTGACTTCTATGAGAAAGAGAGCATAAGACCCCCAGCAGAGTTTTCATGTCACGATCATTTCCCAGCCTTTCTTTGCATTGCCCCAGCTCCAATCACAGGCACAGGTACAAGCCCCCAGCATGTGGAGGGAGGTCCTGGAACTCAAACCTGTGACCTTTCTAGGTAAGTCCAGTTGTGTTAC